ACTGTTATCTGTATGTGCATTGAAACCACCCGAGAACTTGGTAATACACTTCATTTCTATTGGGTAAGTAACTGTTCGTCGGGTCGCTCCATTAGACCTCCGAACATCTAGAATAGAGTACAACGTAGAGAACAAGACTTGTTTTCAGAGATTCGTCGTATTTAACTAATACATTACAATTTGTAACTCGGATAAAATAGGTAATGGCGGATATTTTACTTAAAAGATGACAGTAATAAATCATCAAACTTGGAAGAATTTAGATGATGTCTAATGTTTGGTGTTTAGTTCTTATTTACGGAATGTTAAGAGGGGTGGGTGAAATGGGGTGAATAGAGGGCCACGAGAGATTCACATGAATGGCTTGTGAATGCGACTTCCCATCGCTTGCACTGTGGCTAAGATGCAATGTTTAATCCATTTAGATTATTGTTCACAAACCTGTCATAGCGGAGANNAGCGGAGACGAAACGCCCTGGTGAAGTCAATTAAATGACCTGACTCGACAGGGTTTGAACAGGTTGCGCTCGTGTCCAACAAAAGCGGGTGAAGCTCACGGACTCTCTGAGTCACACGTCTCCTCGTGTGACCAATGCACTTTGTTTCACAGGAACAAGTGAAAGAGTGAACGCAGGAACCGTAACTTTATCTTTGAACTGCAGCCTCAGGGCCGGTTTGGATGCGCATGGGATACGCAATTACGCTGCATGGAACGTTTAACTGATCGTAGCTGTCAATTTTCGAGTAACTATTTCCGTCATAGTGTCAATTGTCATCAGCAGTCTTACATAAACTTTTTTTCTTTTATACTCCAACAATTTCTCTCTCCGTTGGCGTTTTAATATAGTGCCCATAAATCGATCCGGGTATCCATTTTGTTAGAGGATCTGGCGCAAGNCAAGAATTCTTATTCATTCTGAACTGCTCCAGTCGAGCAGATTGTTTGCGCTCTGTTAGCGAGACATTGAATCAAGTACGAAACTTTGAAGACGAATGTACTAACCTGGCCAAGTGCTTTTTCTGTACATCGAGCTTTGCATTGACTCCTCTTCACGGCCTTTGATAGAGACATTAATGGATAGCGAAATAATATCAGGGGAAGGCATTGATAATCCATTTACATTATTGTCCTGAATAGAATCTGCCAAATCAAACGAGTCTCGTTGCGTATGCTTTGCTAGTTCAGTCTTTATCGGTTCCACTTAGCTCGCGAGCCATTTAACTATAGCGTGGTAAAGTCAGTTAAACATGTCCGATGTTGGCCTGAGTAGGGCACCATTTTTGTGTATTCTCGCTATCCCCAGAATCCTCCTCCGTTCTAGTTGGTCGGATGCGCTCAAACGTGGTCGCATCTACCACGCCTCTTTGTTTAAGGCATAGAAAATTCTGGAACAACTTCTTTCCAGTCTGTTTGGTTTTTTCCTTCTTTCCATTTGTTTTCTGAAAATTATCCTTATCATCAATAATGAAGTTCATCTTAGCTATGTAGTCGTGCTTGTTCATAATGACAACACCTCTGCCTTTGTCTGGTCTCAAAGTCATGACGTCCGGATTTTGCTATAGCTCTTTTAAAAGCCCTAAATGTTGGTTTCTCACCAAGCTCCTGATCGTTTGCTCGTAACATGTATTCGTCTAAAGTAGATTTGGACTTCGTCAAGTCTGAATGTGAAAACGGAATCAGATCTGACAAATAAGCATACAAATTCTCAAATTCAACCTGAACTTCTAACCGCTTGATTGCTTTTCTGGGACAGTGAAATGATGGTCCTGATGCGAGAACTTCCAGTAAATGTTTATCCGACACAAACGAAGGTAAGTTAAGGTAAGTTTCGAGAACTCACTGATATATTCCGTTGGGTTTAATAGATTCCTGAGTGAACCTCACTTGCGTTTCACCTGGTTGTGCACGACCGACTGAACAAAGACGTCGAATGGCTCACGTTCTTCCGCTGATAACGACTTCATTATGGACTGAGCCGATGCTAAGTTTCGTCGGTATACGAACAGACGGCCCGCTATTGTCTCTCTCGTTCACAGAGAGTTCAACTGACGGCGAAACGATTTATTATTGGGGCGTATGATCCGATAAACTGGATGCCGGCATCGATTTTAACACACTGTCCCGTTGCCTTGTGTTTCAGGCTTTGACTAACTGAAGGCTCTGGTTGTTGATTCCTCAAGAAAATCCATGTGCCTTGGCCTAAGTAACCTCGAAGTATCGTGTTCAGTCACTTCATGAAACTTTTTCTTTTTATAAAGGCCGTTGTACTTTAATTTGTTCTGCATACTGTCTCTACTCAGACAAGTGAAAAATAAATAATATATGAGAGTCGGCTTGATTCTACTTTATAGCTCTGTCAGTTGTGTAATGATGGCATCATATCTCAGTGGACTTACCAACCTCAACATGCAAGCACTTCCTGAAGTGCTATAATTTTGGTAAATAAAATCAGTCATTGTTTCATATCTGACCTTAAAAAAGCGGGGAAGTTTTTCACCTGATACTTCTCTGAAATCACATTGTTTACATGTTGATTTATTTGAACTTTGTTGTTCAGGTTGTCCATCTTCACCGGCGAGTCTCATGACGAACGCCGCCACTTAACGGCAGTAGCTGCACATCCGACCGAGTTCATTGTTGCCACGGGAAATCGCATAGGTGAGATTTTTATCTGGTATGGATTGGCTATCGGATCTGCAGCAATGAACTCAACCGATTGGTTAAGTATGCTGCTCCCGAATCCCGATATTTTGGAAGATGACGCGGATTCCGGCACCGTCGGCACTTTTCCATCTCACTCAGCTGATGCGCAGTTTGATGACATCCGGCAGTTACTGCTTGAGAAACACCGTAAAAACCATATTCTTCCTTATTGCCCAGTGCATCCATCGCGGGTACGGAAGAACCTCCTGCATTGGCATTGTCAGATTGTGACCAGTCTTTGTTTCACACCGACAGGTACAGTATCAGTTCTTCGTCCTGGATACCCTTGCTTTCATTTGTTTGATTAAATTATGCCGCATTGATCAGCTCCCTACTGTTTCTGTCCAAATAGCAATTTTCTCCGTTGCAGTGCCTCTAGTCTGATTTCTGTTATTCTGTTATTTTAATAAATCAAGAAATAGATCTTACTGGAAAATTAAGTTTAGTTGTCAGTTCACATAAACATTGGATCCATTTTGCCCAGTATTCAACGAATATTCCGACAAAGTTATTCTTATTTGTGCTTCACAAATAAACCCTCGGGCAGCCGATCAGACCGTTTTTCATTTTGTCCGCACCCCCGGGTTTGGTCCCCAACGGGGCCGATTAATTCACACTTCTGATGAAACTCCACCAAGTAGAAACAGTTGTCAATGGCTTCTTGGCCTTTCAGTTCTCACACTTCATCTGTTCTGTTAACGGCGAGATCGCAAGTGGATTGCTTTGAAAGAAAGATTATTATACCGTAGTTTGTTTGTCACATAGGTATATGTTCGTATGCACTGTAGACTCGCAAATCGCTTGTCAAAAATCAATAGTAAGTGCCCTAAATATACGTTCTTAGAAAATCAGGCTGTAGTGTTTGCCTGTGCGCCGAATCTCTTGAATTCTAGACTCAGTTATAAACGAGATGGCATTCCCCTCAGTTATAATCGGAACGCTTCATATTTGAACTCCATAACCACCAGCACTCATTTTTCTACTTTTTCATTTCTGTTCTGCTAGCGTATTGGTCGAATTCCTGAATATCTTGGATGGCAGCATTTTATGCACAGGTGTTGGTGGTGAGATCACTGCAGAAGCTTACCCCATTCCCGTTCCATGGTCAGACACGGTAGATCTAGAGTAGGCGTAGGAATTCCCTGTTCGACTTTGCCGTTGTTTTAAGCTGTCTTCCAACTATTCAACGGGATATCAAAGTAATATAATGCAAAACAACATACCTTCCAGCGTTCGGTTTTTTTGTTCGAGGATACACCTCCAAACCTCGCACGATCAAGTGAGAACTTCAAGGTAGCAGATTGACGTCTCACGAATGCGCTTTTTGACATTTCAGCTACCCCCACGTGGTTTAGTCCGCTCTCTCGAGCAGCCTACAGGAAATGAGCGTATTCCACTAGCCTCTCAGAACCGCACAATAGTCGCCCAATCAGAAATACTTCTCCGTGCATTCCATATACCCCCATCTCCATCAGTTCAAGTCGGTGTTAGCTTAAATCCTCCGAAGCTTGAGGGGGTTAATCACCACGATTTCGAAAGCTTACCGGTTTGTTGAATATTTCACCTCACACGGCGACACTCGTACTCCTATTTTCGTGTACTATATTTTCCTAACATTCTTTATTTATCTTAGGCAGTCACTTGCTTTCCGGAGGGTTGGAACGAGTTTTGGTGAAATGGGATATGACTGAATGTCTTGGCGGACCCAGACAGCGTCGTTTCCTCCCTCGTTTATCTGCACCCATTCAGTCTATCGATAGCCCCGGCGGACCGTCAGAAGATACTATTGTGATGACATTATCTAGTAATGGTATGTCCGAAAACATCTCGCTTTTAACAACAGTTATTCGTTGTCGACAAAGTGGATCTGCTAACAGTAGAGTTTAAGGTTTGAACTCCATTATCCATTCTGTTCACTGGCAATTTTTGGGTCACTTGACTCCATATGACATCCACCTTAAAAAATGTAAATGTCTCTTATTGTTTTCTTTTTATCTTTTTGTGTTCTAGAGTTTACTTTGCAAAATTGCAATGTAAACAGCTGTTAATCTTACCCTAGGATTGTTTCATTTTTATTGTTTTTGGTTACAAAAAGTGCGAAGAAAACAGAACCATGAGTATCTCTGTTGAACATTTCTATGTTTGATGCTGGGGATATCTGACTCCGAAGCTGTCTCCTATTTTACGTCGTCTTTTCAATCGTTCTCTCCTGCTTTGTTCTTTTCCAACCCCTTGGAAGCACGCCGTGATTTTTCCCATTCCGTAACGCGGCTGCTTATCTGACCCCAACAATTACCGACCCATTTCCCTCACATTTGTTATTTCCAAAGTATTTAAAACGAATCTTCAACCAACTACGCGCGTTCCTCGAACCTGAAGGATTACTGATTGACCACCAGTATGGCTTCCAAGAGCGTCGTTCCACCGGTGACCTGCTGGCTCTTATCTCACTGGGCGATGGTGGCGAAGTGGTTAAGTAACCAAATTCTGTCCTTTGAGTCCCGGGTTCGAACCGCTCCAACGCCGCCTCTCTTCCCAGGCAACCTTTGTATGGTCGTGGCCCACCTTCCTGAATGTTGGCTGTACATTTGTATATTCAATGAATAAAAAAGTACAAGAACAAGACCAGACAATTCTGGTCAACCTCACTCAAGAAACGCGAAAAAACACGCTTGATCTCGCTTTGCATCTCAAGGGCCTTCGACCGATTTGGTCACAAAGGTCTACTGTCGAAATTGTCCATGTTCGGTTTCTCTCCGGTGTTCGTCACTTGGATTTTAAGTTTCCGCAGTAAATGAAGTATCTCTGTCCCAGTTGATGGGTTTCTATCTCAGCCTTTCCGTGTTCAATACTTGCACTCACCTCCTATTTATCAACGATTTTCCATCTAAAATTTTCATCCCAATCCATTCTTTTCCCGATGATGCCATCGTCCACTGCTACCTCCTACCGCATTACTCGACAAGTCCAAACCAACATGAATCACTACCGTAGTGCAGTCACGGCGTCTCTGGACTCTGATCTTGAATACATCTCTTCCTGGGGCAATGTCTATCTTGTTCCATTCAATAGTTCTAAACCCCCCTTCTCTGAACTTCTTTGAGATACCATTCATTTCCCCTTCATTTATCTTTTGTTCCACAACCTCTGTCCCCCTTGGGTTGCTTGTAATTTCTTCTCTATGCTAGTCCTCTTTTACAGCTCCACTTGTTTCTCGTGCCGTGCGCAGGTTTTTTTCGCTCCCGACGCTTTTTCACCTCAGCTCATCGTTCACTGTTCCAAGCTCGAATCCGCTCTGCGCTGCATTCACTTGTGGAGTGGGGCTTCGTCTTCTTCTCTTTCCCTTTTCGATAGTATTCAGCGAAAGTCCATCCGACTAATCGACGGTCCTTCCCCAACATCCAATCTGTAGTCACTATCCCATCGTTGGGCATTTGCCTCATTGTCCCTACTCTATCGTTAGTACTTCAGTTTTTGTTCTTCAAAGTTTGCCTTGGCAGTTCTTCTGGCAACTTTTCCCGGTCATCCCGTACACAGGCATCTAATCATCCCTATCAGATATCAGTTCCCAGGTGTCGTACTTTTATCCTCCGATCTTTCTTTTCCCTCGAACTGCCAGGCTGTGGAACAACCTCTTTCTGTCTTTCTCGCAACTTGCACTCTTTGAACGCAGAATTAATAAAGTGGATTTTCCATACTCTCCCTCTTATAATCTGTTGCTTCCCCTTGGTGGATTCCCTTTTTTACTGTAATTCACATTATGTGTAATAAAATATAGAAAACACTGCTCGACGGGCAACCTATGAAATTTACCGAGAAGGCCTACAGCCACAGACAGTTATTCTTCAGTCGACGGATCAGGTCAGCTGTGTGATCCAACTGCCGTCTTTTGACTACCAATGTGGATGAACAATAGGAGAAGAAAGTTGAAAGTGGAGTCGAAAAGAAAATGGAGAAGTTCAGTGGTCTAAGGTTGCAAAGAAATTGAGGAGATGCACGAACGCCACTGTTTACGAAACCCAGATATATCGCTCAGTGTCTCTTACCATCGGTTACGATCATCCCGAAGTCCCCAGCCAGGGAGCCTAACAGGACCTATGTGACCAAGTTTCCTGGTCAGGGTTTTCATACCTCGTGCACCATTCAGTTCTGTTCAGTTTTTACAACCATTAACCACGCATATTCGTGCACCGGTTTTGTTTGCTGTCTTTTGGCTGCCCATTTGGATAAAGAGCAGAATGACGATTGGAATGTTGAAAGAAAATTCAAGTGGAAGATAGAGAATTCATATAGAATGGTGTCAGGGAAATGATGATTGAATGCACGAGCGCCATGGTTTGCAACACCCAGCCATATCACTCAGTGTCTCTAACCATCGGTGACCATGACCTCCGGGTGCCCAGCCAGGGGACCTAACAGGGCCTATGTGACCTGGTCTCCTGGTTAGGGTTTTCACAACCTCATGCCATGTCTTAGCTTGATCACACTTGGCTTTATTCCACCCACTACCTGCCTCAGCGAAAATCGCTCGCCGTGGCTATCTATTTGTGACATGCGTAACTCATGCCGCAACCACCGTAATATATGGAGGTCGATCACTTACTCCCATGGGCGACCGCGACTGCCTAAACTCTACGCCTAACCTCAGTATTGCTAGTCCGGTTAACCCACCGGACTCGTGCAATGCGACATAGACAGCGGAGTTCGAACACCGACAATGTATTTTTATCCTCTTCCCGTCGTGATCAAGTNTGCACCGTAGAGCAGCACTGGGCGAACTGCTGCAGTATACACTGGACCCTTCATAGACAGGCACTACTACTTCCCCAGTCAGGGTGAGAATGAGTGCTGGATCAACGCAGTCTTGTAGCAACATTTTACACTTTGAAGGTGCAAAACGCCAGCACCCAAACTATCCAGAAAAGCGTAGATATTCCCTTAGCATCACGGTGTCGTGTGCATACTCTAAATCAGACAGTCTGTCACCGGGAAGTAAATCGATGCCCCTATCGTCGCACGAGGATGTTTTTATAATCAAATCTATAACAAAGTTAAGTAAGAAAGGGTTACGAGAGCAACCCTGACGAACACCACTTTTCGTGGTGAACTCGGTTGAAAAAGTGCCGTTAGCTCGGACTCGGCTTCTGCTATTAGTATAAAGCGATTATAATGCAGAGACATCTGAATTTTTGAGAGCGTCTCTGGTGCTATGGCAGATAGTGAATGGAAAAGGGTCAGGCTAAAGGTGTTAGAACCCTGTCCAGGATACTTTCTCGCCTAAGTCGCGGTAGGCTTCCTGGATGGGGACATCAGGATCATTGTAATCAGTGGTTCGGGACACTAAGTGATACACTTGCACGCTCTCCGTCACATTGTGAGAATTTCCACTTTTTCACTCACTATCATGCGCCATCGTTACTCACGGGATGATATTATTTGTTTCAA